AGTACATATATCAGACAACATAGATTTCAAAACAAAGAAAATAATGAGATAAAGAAGGACATCACATAATGACAAGGGGTCAGTCCAACAACAGAATATAACCATTATAAATACCTATGCAGCCAATATAGGAGTGACTAAATATGTAAAATAAATACTAACAGAATTAAAGGGGGAAACAGACTGCAATACCTTCATTTTAGGACACATTATTAAAACACCATTCACATCAACTGTCAGATCAATGAGACAAAAAATAAATAAGGAAACAAAGACACTAAGCAGTACATTAGACCAAATGGACTTAACAGGTATCTACAGAACACTCCATCTAAAAGTAGCAGGATATATATTTTTCTCAAGTGTACATGGAATGTTCTCCAGAATAGATGACATACTAGGGCACAAAAAAAAAGCCTTAATAAATTCAAAAAGATGGAAATAACAGCAAGCTGCTTCTCAGATCACAAGGGTATGGAACTAGAAATAAATTATACAAAGAAAACAAAAAGCCTACAAACACATGGAGGTTTAACGACATGCTTCCAAACAGTCAATGAATCAATGAACAAATTAAAGCAGAAATGAAGCAACACATGGAGACAAATGAAGTAAACAATTTAACAGCCCAAAATCTGTGGGACACTATGAAGGCAGTTCTAAGAGGAAAGCACATAGCAATATAGGGTTACCTAAAAAACAAGAACAATCCCCCAAAAGTCTATACTCACGAACTAGAAAAAGAAGAACAAATGAAGCCCAAAGTTAGTAGACGGAGGGACATAATGAAAATCAGAGCAAAAATAAATTGAAAATAAAACAATAGGAAAAAAAAAATCAGTGAAACCAGGAGTTGGTTCTCTGAGAAAACAAAATAGATAAGCCTCTAGCCACACTTATAAAGAAAAAAAGAGAGGCTACACACATAGCAAAAATCAGAAATGAAAAAAGGAGTAATCCCAGATACCACAGAAATACAAAGAATTATTAGAGAATACCATGAAAAATTATATGCCAAAAATTGGACAACCTTACCAAATTGACCAAGGAAGTAACAGAAAATCTGTACAGACCAATTACCAGCAATGACATCAAACTGATAATCAAAACTCCCCAAAAAACAAAAACCCAGGTCCAGATCACTACACAGCTGAATTCTTCCAAACATTTAAATAAGAGTTAATACCCAACCTTATTAGAGTATTACAAAAACTGTAAAAGAAAGGAATACTTTCAAACTCAATCGATAAGGTCAGCACCACTCTAATACCGAAATCAGACAGACACCAGAAAAAAGAAAATTATAGACCAATATCCCATAGATGCAAAAATCCTCAACAAAATATTAGCAACTGAATTCAAATGCACCAAAAAAAATCACCATGACCAAGCAGGATTTATTCCAGGGATGCAACGATGATACAACATTTGTATTTCAATCAATATCATTCATCACATTAACAAAAAGAAGGATAAAAACCACATGATCATCTCAACAGATACTGAAAAAGAATTTAACAAAATTCAACATCCATTCATGATAAAAACTCTTAAAATGGTATACAGAGTACATACCTCAACAAATTAAAGGCCATATACAATAAGCCCACAGTCAACATTGTACTAAACAGCAAAAAACTGAAAGCTTTTCCTCTAAGCTCAGGAAAGACAAGCATGTCCACTCTCTCCACTTTTATTTAGCATAGTACTGGAAGTCCTAGCCATAGCAATCAGGAAGAAAGAGATAAAAGGCATCCAAATTGGTTGGGAAAAAGTTAAATTGTCACTATTTGCAGATGACACTGTGTAATACACAGAAAATCTTAAAAGACTCCACCATTAGAGCCAGTAACTGAAATCAACAAAGTTCCAGGATACAAATTAGTATACAGAAATCTGACACATTCCTATATACTAACAATGAACTAGCAGAAAGAGAATTTAGGAAAACAATTCCAGTTATAACTGCATCAAAAAGAATAAAATACCTAAGAATAAACCTAACTAAAGAGGTGAAAGAACTATACTCTGAAAACTATAAGACACTCATGACATAAATTAAGGAAGATACCAATAAATGGAAATCTATCCCATGCTCATGGATAGGAAGAACTCATATTGTTAAAATGGCCATCCTGCACAAAGCAATTTGTGCAGATTCAACACAATCCCTATCAAAATACCAACAGCATTCTTCAATGAACTAGAATAGTTATAAAATTCATATGGAACCACAGAAGACCCCAAATAGCCAAAGAAATACTGAGAAAGAATAAAGCCAGAGGGATTACACTCCCTTTAATTGAAGCTCTATTACAAAGCTACAATAATCAAAACAATTTGGTACTGACACAAGAACAAACCCATAGATCTATGGAACAGAAAAGAAAGCCCAGAAATAAATCCATGCATCTATGGTCAATTAATATACATAATGGAGCCATGAACATAGAATGGGGAAAAGACAGCCTCTTCAACAACTGGTGGGGGGAAAACTGTACAGTTACATGTAAGAAAATGAACCTGGATTACTGTCTAACTCCATACACAAAAGTAACCTTGAAATGGATCAAAGACCTGAATGTAAGTCATGAAGCCATAAAACTCTTAGAAGAAAACAGACAAAAATCTCTTGAACATAAGCATGAGCAATTTTTTCTTGGATATATCTCTTCGGGCAAGGGAAACAAAACATATGCCTTAACACCCAAAAAACAAACAACCCATTTAAAAAATGGGCAGAGGACCAGAACAGAGATTTCTCCAAAGAAAAAAACAAATGGCCAGCAGGGACCTTTATGCTCCACATCACTAATCATCAGGGAAATTGAAACCAAAACCACTATGAGATACCACCTCACACCAGTTAGAATGCCACTATCCAAAAGAAACAACAAATGTTGGCAAGGATGCAGAGAAATGGGAACCCTCCTACACTGTTCGTGGGAATGTAAATTGGTGCAAACACTGTGGAAAGCAAGTATGGAGGTTCCTCAAAAAATTAAAAATAGAAATATCAATCATAATTCCACTTCTAGGAATTTACCCACCGAAAACAAAATCCATGATTCAAAGCGACACATGCACCTGTTTATCGTCACACTATTTGCAATAGCCAAGATATGGAATGAACCTAAGTGTCCATCAATAGATGAATGGATAAAGAACATGTAGTGCATATACACAATGGAATATTATTCAGCCATAAAAAGAAAAGAAATCCTGCCTTTTGCAACAACATAGATGGATCTAGAGGGTATTATGCCCAGTGAAGTAAGACAGGCAGAGAAAGACAAATACCATATGATTTCACTCATTTTGGGAATATAAAAACAAAGCAAAACAGAACGAACAAAACAGGAGCAGACTCACAGACACTGCAGTGACTAGTGGTTACCAAGGGGGGGATGCTCTTTGCGGGGGAGGAGGTTGAGGGGACAAAGGGGCACAATAATTTGCAATCACAATATAAATCAGTCACTGGGATGGTAGTACGGCACAGAGAATACAGTCAATGATCCTGTAACATCTTTGTTAGTTGACAGTAATTGCACTAGAGGGGATGAGGATTTAATAATATGGGTAACTGCTGAACCACAGTGTTGTACATCTGAAACCAATATAAAATTGTGTATCAATGACATGACAATTATTAAAAAAGAAAGAATTGAATCAGGAAATTAGCAAGATGCCACTGCTTCAGAAAAAGTCTAATAACATGTATCATTATGAAAATATTTTAAGTAATCTATCATCACATGTGTCTATTCCATCCCTACACTCAGTCATTTAATTGTATGAACCACTACTACTATAGTGACATACACGGTTTATCACTCAAAATCCCCCTTCCTTCTGTAACACCCCCGACCTTAAATTTCTTTAGGGAAACTGTCCCTCCCCCATCATTAGATGTAAGTCACCATAATATCCTCATCTCAGTTAATTGTTCAAGATAAGCGGATACCCTAACCAAGGTCACCATGATGAAAGGAGACCTTTGGTGGTATTTCTGGAGAAAAGAATCCCATAGCGCTTGCACTCCACTCTCCCTCTATCACCCTCCTCTCCCTTCTTTCACTTTCTTCTTTCCTCCCTTTTCCTTCCTCTCTCCTCCCCAAAATGTACAACAAAGAAGACCATCACTCTTCCCTAAGATGTGAGGGTATGAAGATATGAAATCTAAAGCTAAGGAGATAGAAAGGATTGTGCTGAATGGAACCTGAGAATAAAGGCAACAAGGGGAAGCAAAGCCAAGAAATGAAGCCTGGTTACATTTGAACCCTAAATCAAAACATTGGACTTTTCAATCATGTGTTTCCATTTAGGCAGGCTACTTTTCTGTCACTTGCAACGTAGGTTAGAACCTTATATTGTCTTCGAGTCTTCAGACTTCTAGCACCATTTTTATTGAACAAATTCTACCAAACCTACTTGTCTAGTTGGGCCTAACAATGCTTTCCTGCTTGAACAAATTCTTCAATTTCATTTGCTTTAAGACTAAAATTTTCCCTTTAAAACTTTTATCTTTTAAACCATATCTCAAAGTCATTTTCATCAGTAATAGGTATCTGATTTTTGACAGAAAGTCAGCTCAGCACAATTTCCAAGTCTTAAAAACACTGAAAAAACTGAAGAAATGGAATAAATCTTCAGTGTTTTAGAAAGATTACTCATGCAAAAGGTTACAGGGAAATAAAACTGTAAAGCACAGAATTAATACTCAGGTATTAACTTTTCCTGGCAATTTTGCTTCCTTTTAGAATTTTAATTATCTTTCTGTAATGAAAGCTACTAACGATCTAGCTAGCCAATATTCCTTGTGATACTAGGCAATGTACATAGTTAGAACAATCATTAAAACAAACCAGTTACCTAATTCAATCTAATTCTGATGACAAACATAGAATTTACCTCTGGTATATCACATTTATCTCATGTCCAATTATTTAAACATTTAATTTCATTTCTGAGAACTAGGGGGAAAAAAATCAACTTACCTCAATTGTTTTGCATAATTTTGCTCAATTTCTATCCTCTCTTTGACGAATTTGGCATATCTTTCCAAGAAGTCAATTCCCCATTGTGTATGCTTGTCTAAGCTGTCAAACTGATCCTGGAAAAAAGAAGATAAAAACACATTGAAAAGTCTAAAATTTTATCCACAAATATATTAACTAGCTTCTGTTACTTGTCCAGAGAAGCAATGAGGTATAAAAGGAAAAATATAGGCTCTTCTGCTACTCACATACACCTCATCCTTTCAAGACTCAAACAGAAATACGTTCCTCAGTATAAATCATGCTACTTTATGCTGCCATGCCCTTACACATGTGGTTCTCTCTGGATGCAACATCTATCCCTAGTCACCTTCTCACAATTAATTCTTGATTCCTCCTCTGGGATTTAGTTTCCTAGAAAATGGCCATGAACTCTCAGACTGAGAGCAGTGGTCTTTCTCAGAGTCTCCAAGGTTTCCTAAAAATTACTACCTTATTTATTTGTCATATTATATTGAGGGCAGGAACCATGTATTATTCAACTCTCAGAACTGAACAGGCTTAATAAGTACCACGTTTGGAACTGTAACAGATACTCAATGAAGAACCGTTCAGCTCACCAGAATCAGATCTACCTGGGTTCAAATTCTGGGCTCGGAATTCACCAGATATTTAACATTGGGCAAAAAAACAAGGCTTTTTGAACATTTTCCATCTTAAAATGGGAGTCCCAACTCAGTGGGATTATGGTGATGTCACTAAGTGTTCTGCATCACAGATCAACTAGGGGGGTCAAGGTCCCCACTTTGCGGGGGAGATGGTGGGGACTGGAGACCACATGTAGAATTAACAATTCATTGGTCCCCTGTGAATGTACAATGTGTCCTGGCACTAGTGTTAGAGCTGACTGTTCTCTGATTTACGGCAACCCTGAGAGTTTTCCTTGGACCTCTGCTGTGATAGATGGCTATGGGGTAAGTCAATCAGAGTGAAAAAAGCATAAATATTTTGGGGGTAGATAACCTGAAAGGTCCATCCATGGTTACAGACCACTGCAGGTGAGTTTAGACTGAGGGTACATGTGGAGAAGGCATTTCTGAGAAGACATGCTAAGCAC